ACTTCCTTTTTATTTCTTATTCTTATAAGAATATTCTTATCTTATTCTCACAAGATAGCACTTGATCTGACAACCAAAGCAAGCCCATAGAGTTGGTGAACTATCAGGACCAGTTTACAGAAAAGGAAAAGTATGGTTCTGAGGGATTCACAGGCTTGCTCGAAGTTCAAGGATGAGTCACAAAATGATTTCACATGGAAGTTGGGACACATGAACCCAAGTCAGATGGGGCCAAAGTCTGAGCTTGTAGTTAGGAATATGATTATAGAAGTCAGATTCAAGTGGAGTCTTCGAGGGAAAGTGGTATTTTTATGGCTGGGGGAGGGAAGGGGATTCACCAGTGACTCATCCACACAATTCCTAGATATTAAGAGTCCATATAAACCCCTTTCCGGGTCTGTCCTAGGCAAGCACTGAGCCCATGTTTATTTAAAAAGAATACCAGTCATTTTTTTCCATATTAAAATCTTTACCCATAACACTCTTCATAGTATAGTGCAGGGCAAAACTGAGAAGAGGTGAGATAGGAGATGACATTTTACTGTTTGCTCCTAATCTCACCGCTGCTAGAGTCATCAAGCCTTTGCAAGGCACGAAGAGGAACCACTGCTTTGTGGATTTGGAAGGAATTCCTATTATGCTATAATTCCAGAATATGAGATACATCTGAAAAAGAGGTCAACGTGACTCGTTTTTTCCATATCTCCTGCCATAGAAAGGTGTCTGCTTTCTCCATAACTTCTGATGATTTGCATCTCTAAAGCACACCGGTCTCCTCCACTGCCCTTTCATTCCTTTGTTGTGGAGACCATCCACAAGGGAACAAGGGCATCCAGATCAGTCAAGGCATCTCTTGCTGTTTTAAACAAACGTGGTGCGTTCTGCAGAAGAGAAAAGGCCCCAGGACAGCAAGTAGCTGGATGATGAGATTTCCAGCTCTCGACCGCCCCCCCCATCCTTCATGACTGTCACTCCTGCCCTCTGATCAGAAGCGGATTCTGGATGGAATCAGCCAGGCTGTTAAGGCCAGTTAGGGCAGGCAAGTGGGAGATGAGCTGTTGTTGCTTTCTAGTTTAAGTTGCATAGCTTTTCCAGAATGGAGTATACCAGGTGAACTATCCCCTTTGCCTCTGAGGTCTTTGTTTTTTACTTTCTTCGGTCAGCACTATTGGTAGTTACAATAGGTAAGCAGGCTAGTGGACTTCATTACACCTGCCTCCAGCTGAAAGTCAAAAGCAACTGGATAAAGAGGTAAAAATCCTATTCCAGAGAGAAGTGAGAGTCAAGAGACATAGCTTCTAATTAGTTGACCACAAAGGAAGAGTGGGGGATGTATAGTCAAAAGCTGGGGTTCCTTTCTTGACTCTATTCTACCAGATATCATGTCAGGCTCAGTCATTTCACTACATTTTGAATCTGTTTACTCATTTAGAGTAAAAATAGTTAACGTGAATTGGGTAAACTGTATGTGCCAGGCACTGAGTTACTTTATACACAATTAGCTCACTTAATTTGCAAAACCTTAGCAAGTAGACATACTACCTCCATAGAATAGATGAGTGTCTTGGGGCTTGAGGTTAACTTGCCACGTGTTCCCCAGCAGAGGAGTTCGGGTCTGAACCACAGCATGTGACTTTATCCCTAGTCATAAGAATTTCTAGCACTTGGGGTTTCTTCGAGGGCGAAATATGTCTGCATTATTCACATGTCTCTCCAGAGCATACAGTAGTGCTCGACAAAAGATAATAATTATTACAGCAATTTCTTGGCTGATGTTTCTCTGAACCATTGGAAAGCACTATCTAAACCTATTTTGCTGACATCATATGGATTGGGCAAGCCACATTGATGCTCATCCTATAAACAAGGTCACAGCATGACTGTTTCAAGGAAACCCAGGGGGTCAGTGAGCATTATAGTTAAAACAACAACATGACAGAGGAAAGGGGCAAGCTATGAATAAGCTCTCAAAAGCAGATTTTTCTTAAAAATGCTAGTATTATCCAGCTGGGCTTGGTGGCTCAGCCTGTAATCCCAGCACTTTGGGAAGCCAAGGCGAGTGGATTGCCTGATCCTGTGGGTTTGAGACCAACTCTGACAACTTGGCAAGACCTCATGTCTACAATAAATCAAAAATTAGCCAGACATGGTAGTGTGTGCCTGTAGTTCTGGCTACTTGGAAGGCTGAGGCGGAAGGATCGCTAGAGCCCAGCCGGTCGACGCTGGGGTGGCCATTGCACTCCAGCCTGGGCAACAGAGTGGGACTCCAACTCAAAAAATAAAAATAAAAATAAAGCTGGCATCCCTCGAGGAGGAAAGGATTGGCCTTGGCAAGCAGCAGGTTAAGAGCTGCTGAACTGGAGATTTGCTTGTAGAAGGAAGGATGGAAAGCGATGCATGGACCCCAAAGAAGCTACTTCAGGATTTTCCTTTGCATAGCCTGGGGTCAGGTCAAAAAACCAGAACCATTCCCGTCTAAAAGACTGCACAGTCAAGCTATCCCACTGCTACCCAGCGCGATTCCAGACAGTCTAGCATTTATTTGATTATTACAGCAATCCCCTTGAGGGAATCCAAACACCAATCCCATTTTAAAAATAAGGAAAATTAAAGATTGGAGAAATCAATGATTTGCCTAATTCACATAGATAGGAGAAATTTTGAGGAGAGTCTTTCTCCACTGCCCTGTACCTGGGAACAGCCCGCTAGACAAACCGGGAATAATCCCAGAGTGAGAGTGTAAAGAGCTCGTGACAGTTGGGTGTCTGTGCTGTTATCTTATCACACACCTGGGTATAGCAGGGTCTCTTAAAGCATTCAACTAACCGATGCTCCAACTGTCAAAAACACCTGCTCAAACCTTAGTACAAGATACTGTGCAATTATTTGCCTTCCATGACAAACACCTTTTTTGGGGGGAAGCCATTCTTCTTAGAGAACTCAATCCCACAACTTGTCAATTTGGAGCAAATAGTAAAATTAGACCTTTCATTTTTCAGTTTTTGAACACAAAGATCCTTAGTCCACCTTTAAGAAACTACTACGGTTGCCAAATGGACTGTTTTTCTTTTAAAGGTTGGAAAGAATTCTACTAGCCTCCCTTCCCCCTCCCCAAATTCAAGATGTTGATTGTGTGCCTGGTTTACGATGTTATTAAAAAACAAAGAGGGGTCTCAAAGTTTACAACCAACCCCCAGAGTGGGCAAGTCAAAAGAAAAACTTCATGAAATGTGGTTCATGTAACATCAGCAGCTTACATTTGATCCAGAGTAGGCAAGATAAGCTAACTGCCTATCCCCCTAAGCAGTTCATTTGAATAGGTTAGCCATCCTGAAATGCAGGTCTGCAAGATGAAAAGAGGCTTTGAAATAAGCCAGGCCCAGGCTTGAACCCCAATTTTTATTTGCTGTGGACTTTAAGCATGTCACTTATTTCACATTCAGTGCTCCTAATAGTCTCTACTTTTTGATTTTCTTAAACAGGCCAAAGATAAGTTTCCAGGCTATGCTCAACAGAAAGGTGACTTAAGGATCTATAAAAGAGAATTTATTATATTGGTAGATATGATGCTTATTCCTTTCACCCACATGATAGGAATTCAAGAGCAAAGAACAAACTTAGAAAACACTAGAGGTTTGGTTGAGGTCTGGTTGGGCGCAGTGGCTCACACCTCTAATCCCAGTAATTTAGGAGGCTGAGGTGGGAGGATTGCTTGATCCCAGGAGTTCAAGACCAGCCTACAAAAGAGATTGAAACCTTGTTTCTTAAAAAAAAAAAAAATTAGCCAGGCATGGTGGCACATGCCTGTAGTCCCAGCTACTAAGGAGGCTGAGGTAGGAGGATCTTCTGAGCCTAGGAGGTCGGCTCAGCAGTGAGCCATGACAGCGGTGAGCAGTCCAGCCTGGGCGACAAAGTAAGACTCTGACTACCCCTCCCCCTCAAAAAAAATAATAAAAGAAGAAGAAAAAAGAAAGACAGTTTGTGAAAATGTAGGACTCACAAATTACAATACTGAATTTCAATTACCCTGCCCATTGGGCAAAACAGGATGGTGACCTTTCATGACGAGCCCAGATAGGCCATACTCCAATTCCCATGGGGATATCATCACTCAAAATAATTCTGATTCTTGTCAAAGTCCATGGCACATTTTTGTAACATCCTCAAAGAGGGCTTCACCCTTTAAGGGAAGACCTGGACAGGTAAATCTGGACTTTACATCTGCATATTAGTAACCTGCTCAGCAATTAAGAGTTTGCAAAATATTTTAATATTCATGATGTCTCTTACTCTTTATTGCAACATTATAAAACAAGATGGTCATCCTTGGTTGTAGAGATGTACGACTTATTAGTGGAGGGCCGGGTCTAGAATCTATTTCTCTGGATTCCAAGTCCTATTTACCTTGGCACCACCACCAATGGACCAAGAGAACTAAACATATGCTAGAGAGTATTAGTTAGTAGCATTACCACTATTATAACAGCACAGCAATGGTGTGGAGAGAACACAGAAAATGCCTGGGACAGCTGACAAGGTATTTCCCCCTCACTGTAGCGCCACTTTATAGCATAATGGCTCAGAGCATAGACCCTGGGGTAAGGCTCAAATCTGAACTCTATGGCATATTAACCACGTGATCTTGGGCAACTTATTGTTACTCTGTCAACCTCAGTTCCTTAAACTATAGAAGAAAGATAAGAATATATAGACTTCATTGAGCTGTGTAAAGATAATGCATGAGAAATATTTTAGAAGGGTGGCTTAGCATACATTTATTGCACAGTAAATGTTGTTTTTTAGTAACAGTATTAACTGCATGAAATAAATAGTATCAACCAAATGAAATTCTTTGACTTTGTTGGCTTCTGCTCGGCAGAAGTTTCTGCCAGACAGAAGTTTCTGCCATCTTGGTACGAGCCTCTGTTGGCTCAGGCATTCTCTATGATAATATGGAGGAAGTCAGACAGGATCCACCCTGGTAGAGTCTGGATACTTACCGCGAGGATGGCAATGACGATCCCCACAGCGCAGAGCACAGCATCATTTATTGTCTCACCAGTTTTCAGTGGGTACTTGATGCTCTCATCATTGCAGTAAAACCCTCGATGGTAAGGCTTGATGGTGCTTGTCTCGATGATGATGAAGGGCAGGCCCGCTGGTCAAGGTGGAACCATGGCATATTCCAGGGTGGGTGGGGGGGAGAACGAACAAGGGAGGGAGAAAACGTTAATGCAAAGAAGCCCAGGAGATCCAACCCACAGTGACGACCACCCCAAATCACACTGATAGTGATACTGATTCCTTTCATTCGTAGCAAGCTACAGGCCCTAGAAAGCTTTTATGTCCATCTCCTTTGCTCCTTTTGTCAGCCCCACAAGGAGAGTGGCATTATCCTCTTCTCTTGTCCAAAAGCTCAGAGGGGTCAATGAAAGAGCCAGCACAAGGATTTGCCCACTGCTCTACGTGACCCTGCTACAAATTAAAGCCCAATTCATAATAATTACTAGTACAACCCCAAATCTAATGATATCCTGTTATGCCTTCTTAAGTCTTAACCATTCCTCTTTGAGAAGCTCATCCTAGGGCTGAGAGGAGTGGTGAAGGCCTTGGAGTCAGAAAAGCCGGATTTGGATTTCGATCCGCTGCTTCCCAGTGGTATGACTTCTGGTTCCCACTCCATCTCCCTGAGTCTCGACTTCTCCGCAGTTAAAATGAGCGGTGGGGATTACCAAAGGAGATCAAACACGTAAAACTCCCCAGCACAGAGCCAGCAGAGTAGCTGCTCCATGAATACCATTTTCAAGACTTTTCTTTCACTGTTCAAGGAGTCCGCCAAGACGGAGTATAGTTGAGACAGGTCCTGCTGCCTGCAGACATGGATTGGAGCCCAAGGGCACTCAAGAGCACCAGGCAGCTCTTGCAGCTGCTGCTGGTTATCAGTGGCCAGCTCAGATGCCATTCTCAAAGGTCACAGTCAATGGATTCCATCACATGCCAGGAAAAGGCCCTCAAAACCCTAAGCAAAAAGCAAAGGCCCACAAGAACTCTTGCTTGGATGCTACAATGGCCTCCTAATCAGTCTCATGGCCCCCACTCCCTCTTACATATATCCACCAGTTTGCTTCCTGGCATGTGCATGTCACTGCCCTGCTAAAGCCTCTTCAATGGCTCCTCATGGCACAGGGTAAGATAAAGTCTCTAAGTTTGACCCTAGGAGTTCCCATGACCTGGATATCTCCTCTCTGGCTTCATGCTCTGTGGCTCCTGCACTCAACCTCCAAGGAAACAGCACACAGAGACTCTGTTGGCTTGTGCCATTCTCCAAGACTGAAGTACCTTTTTCTTCCCTGCTACCCAAGTGAAATAGCAACCTCAAATGTCTCCTCACAAAGTGAAAGGATTAAATAAAACTTAACTAAATTTCAGAACTAGAGAAGACCACAAAAAACACCTGGATGATAACAGCCACCACTGACTGTGCACTCACAATGTGTTAGGTACTTTCTATCCATTTTTGCATTGACATATCATTTAGGCACCACCGGCACCAACCTTCAAGTGGAGAGAACAGAGCTCCACAGAGAATACTTAGCTCATTCAGGGCCTCTTGGTCCGCCCCTCAAATGCCTCAATCCCTAATATAACTTTGCAAATTGGTTTCATCCAAATGTGAATTTCATTAGTTGAAAAATCCCAAGATAAGCAGTTGTTTAAAAGATAAAATTCCATTTTCATGTTTTTCAAAAAGAATTAAATTCATTTCATGTTGCTCAAAGTCCCAGACCACCTCTAAAAAAAAATGTACCATGAACTCCACAATTTTTCAATTACTTTGGTCCAGACCAGCAGTGATAAAAATGCTCACTTTCTGAAAAGTGTATTTATGTATCACTGGGCATACACACAAGGATTTATTTGGTTTTATTCTTTTGATTTATTTGAATTCTACGGCTATTTATTTTGTGACCCCTAACTGCTTCCTGCTAGAACAACAATTTACTTTATCAAATTCATACTGGTGCTTTCAAAAGAAAGAACAGCAACACACCACAGTATTGTGCCTGACCTTCTCAGAGTAAACACAGAGGGGCCCGAAGGGCAATAGCCATTAGGTTTTAAAACTTTGTCTCTGTGATGGAGGAGAGGGGGCAGGCGGAGGGAGAGGATAAATGTTCTGGCTTTGAAATGACAAGACCAGTCAGCTGATCCTTTGGGGGCCTGGGAGAGCTATCATATGGGCTGAGCCATCTTCATATCACTGCTAAGACATTTTGAAATGTGACCAAGTTGGCTATGAAAGGTAGCTGAGAAGCCAGCAGTATGATATTAATAGTCTGCCTTTAAAGTTCCACACATCGAGATAAAAAAGTTTAGCTGCAGCCTCTGTGGTGCCTAGGAGCCAGAGTGTTGCTAATAAACTCAGGAAGGGAACAGACCCCAAGTTCCTTACATTTGTGTTCCACTCTTAGGCCTCCAGCTTCTATTTTTAATAGGTTCACATGATAGGCCTGTAAAACATATGTTTCTATGGACAATAAAACACATATAAAAGAGCTTTGGAGTTAGACAGAACTGGGTTAATGATCTAGACTCTACTCCCTGCAAGTTGAATAAGTTATTTCACATCTCCAAAACTCCCTTTCTCATCTGTTCCATGGGAAGAATGAAATCTAACTTTAGGATTGTTAGGTTGATGTAATAAGTTAATGCAGTCACCCATCCATTTATTCAATAAATATTTACTTAACTCTGTCTTTCTCTCCATACACATAAACACACACACACACACACACACACACACACACACACACACACACGAAATACAAAGATGACCCAGATTCTGTCCCCAAGGAGCTTACAATCCAGTAGGGGAAGATACATATAATCAGAATCAGTCTTGTAAGTTCTAGTTGAAAGAAACTCAAGGCAACAGCACTGGGTAATGTCAGCACAGAGTGAGAGGCACCCTGTAGACACTCAATAAATGTTAAATGTCCCACAGAGAGGGATGGCTAGGGAAGAAACTCAGTTTGGTCAGTTCCTTTGCCCTCTCCTAAACTGGGAACAGCCCAAATCCTTTTTCTTCTTTCTTTGCCTAGGGCTTGTTTCCGGTTCTGATTATGTGGATGATGACCACAAACAGACAAAAAGTTGGAGCTGAATATGTTCTGTTTATTTTCTTAAAAGGCGTGGAGATGGCATTTAGAAAACTCAATGACTTTTTTTTTTTAATCTCTCTTACAAATTTGCAGTATTATTGGGGTGATGCCAGTCAAATCTTGACTTTGATCCAGAAAGAGAGTAACCACAGATTCCCTGCAGTTGATGGGAAAAGCATAAACATCCCTGCAACTGGGTAGCAAGTCCTTAAGAGATATAGCACCAGGCCTTGCCTTTCCAGGACAGAAAAGCGGTTGTTCTCCAAAGCAGGGTCTCCATTTTCAACACTGGCACCCTATTAACTTCCAACCAGTAAAGTCCCAATCATTTTATTTCAAGAAAATTACCCAGTGCTAGAGAACTGGAATTCTAGAGGTGAATACATCGTAGTACTTGCCCTTGAGAAGTTCATAGTGTTGTAAGAAAGTCACAAAAACAGTGCACTAAGACATTTCTAGTGATGATTGACATATGTGTAGAATACATCAAGGGCACAAAAGACCACTCTGCTAGTGTCACTCAAGGTGTTTCACAAGAGGCTGGGAGTCTTCAGTTGATCCTTATATGAGTAGGAGCAGTTTCTAGAGCTCAGGGACAAAGTATACTCATGAAAAACATCAGTGTAGTTTAAGGATTCCAATACTGGCAGTCACAAAATCGATGGCTATTAAAAGAATACAATTTTAAACCGGGCTCGGTGGCTCAGCCTGTAATCCCACGCCTTTGGGAGGCTGAGGTGAGTGGATTGCCTGAGCCCGCAGGTTCGAGACTTGCCTGGGCAGCGAGATCTCATCTCTACAATAAATCAAAAAATCAGCCGGACGTGGTAGCGCATGCCTGTAATTCCAGCTACTCGGAAGGCTGAGGCGGAAGGATCACCGGAGCCCAGCAGGTTGAGGCTGCAGTGGCCGGGAGCGGCCACTGCACTCCAGTCTGGGTGACAGAGTGAGACTCCAACTCAAAAAAAAAAAAAAAAAAAAGAATACAATTTTAAACCTTGCTACAGAGCTGGAAGAGATAGACAAATAGACAATGAAAGGAAGAAAAGGGAAAATAGCACAGAGAACAATAATAACAGCTAACATTTACGAAGCAATGATCATGTGCCCAAACTGTGTTGAAGATCCCCACATAAACTTTGCAGGCTGACAAACCTGGCTGCCCACTATAGGGTCTAGGCACTCATTGACAGGGCTAGAGATGAGGGAGACTGAGTTCCAACCTTCAAGTGGCCCAAAGGCTAATAGGAGAAACAGTCATTAAAAACTAATGCATTAAGCCACTGGAAGGTTCAAAGAGATTAAAGTGACTTACCAGAGTCACTCTGCAAGTAAGTGATGGAGCTGGACGGGTTTCAAATGATCTGACTCTAGATCTTGGGTGCTTTCTAAAGTAAGTGAGTCACTTAAAACAGAGAAGGAAGCAACTACGAGTATTAATAAATTAATTGAAGTTATGCAAACCTCAGGGCCTCAGAAGAAAAAAACGGCATTGTTCAGGACAGTCAAGGCAACAACACTGGCTAATGTTCACCTAATATTCACTGTGTACCACATGTGTGCTAAGTATCTAATTTAATAAAAACTCTTAAGTCAATATCCTGGAATTTAGATTTATCCACAATAAAATATGCATTACGAGATTTTTCAAAGCAGGAACAACAACAACAAAAAAAAAACCTGAGTCTAGACCCAGACTCAGACTCAAGCATTTCTCCTTCTTTTAATCAAGGATCAATTAACTTCCTATACCTCCAGGGACTTCTTGGGATGTATAGGTTGCAGAGGAGGCGAAATACGAACTCACTGACAAACATTTAATGGGCAGAAAATCAAAGCATGAAGAAAGGCTCCTGTGTTGGATTCAGGCCTTTGAAACTTCTCCGGCTTTGAAAAACTAACACTAGGGCAGGTTGAGCGGCTTGGGGGTGGGGTGTAAAAAAACACAGGCTAAGTTTTCGTGGCCCACCCATTGATAAAGTCATGTGGGAAGTGTTACCCAAGTGACCCAGCCCCAAAGCCCTGCTCCCTGCAGCCTTAGCTTCACCTTTGCACAAAATTAATCACAGTCTCCTCACAAAGTACTTTTTAGAAAGTCACTGGTGAGGGTAAAAAGACAGTGGGAGGTGAGGGGGATGGTAAGGGAGAAATTGTCACCCTTATGCCTGACCAAAATCAGAGTATCAGAGAGGGGCTTTCCATCTCTCTTATACACCAAGTTCTTCAACTCCTTTTCCAGAGTTGTCCAATTTTCCACTTAACCCGATCTGTAGTTATCTTAGAAATGAGCAGAGTCTAGGATCTGCAAGAGCAATAATTAAACTAACATCTGCAGAAAGCCTATACACCTACCCACAAAATAATACTGGATGCATGATATGTGTGTAGGCTTCCAGAATAACATAATCACTCAAATTAGGCAGGTATTAGGACTCTGCAACAGAAATTTTATACATCTTACCTACAATATAGAGTTTTGAGTAGGTGAGGTTCTACCTATCTCACAATTAAGAATGAACAAAAAACCCCTGAGTGTCAGAGATGTTAAATAGCTCATCTAAAGTGCAGAGTTTGCAAGTGGTTCCAATTTGGACCAGATATTCAAAATATAGATTAAAGACCCTGGACTTCTATTTTCAAGGAGTTTAGAGTTTAGGAATTTTTGTAATATCCACAACATCTAGGAAAAGTTGTAGGTTATTATTTTCATTTGTACCCAACAGAAAACTGAGACCAGAAATGTTATAACTTGTCTAAGGTGCCCAAGTGAGTAAACTGATCACTGGGTTTTGAACCCAGG